AATCCCCATTCGCACTTCTATTGTCACACAAAGACAAAAAAAACTTTGAGACCTTGATTCTTTTCCGCTCTTTTATTGACCTTACTTGAAATTTTTTACAAAATAAAGAACATGAAAAATAAACAACGTGGAAATTTTGGTGACAATTGATACAAAGCAAGGGTATAAAATAAGGGACTGAAGACATTCAATTCGAGTTTTTATTATATAGTAAAATTTCAATGTTGATCAGCCAAAATTTCTGGCAAAACGACATGCCCCTTAATTTTTAGGATTTGCACACTGACTGATATGGGAGTTGGACTAGGATAGGGTTGTTAATGGAACATAATGGGTTGGGTTCATATTATTGTGGAGCAAGGTTTAACCCAACCCAACCTGGGTTAAATGTACTGGGTTAATACTCCATGGGTTGCTCCGGTTTGCTCCATGGAGTAATAATTATTATAATTCTCATTTAAAAAAAAATTATACCAATTTTTAAATTATAATAATTTTAAAACTTGCATAATAATATCAAATATAATTATATATTTGGTTCCAAATTTAATTTCCTTTTATTAAATGTTTAAAAATTGAATAATAATTGTAAAAAAATAAAGTTTTACTTGAATTAAATTTTCAAAAAAAAAACTTAGTTTTACCACTCTTCCCCCAACCACCAGCATAATAGAAATTCGATTATATCAGAAATGTGATGATCATTTGTGATATATGCAAATTTATACAGTCAAAGCTCGTTACAGTGAACCCCTCAGTTCCTAAGATTTTGTTCACTGTAATGAATGTTCACTGTAACGAAAGATCTCTTTATAGTGAACATATTATATAATTTAGTGTAAAGTTCACTATAACGAGAGTTTTTATTTAAATATTTATAGAATAAATAATTACACATAAATAATGAGTTTTTACATATTAATATAACTATCCAAAGTAACTTGCTGTACTGTACAGATTCTCGATTTAATCTTTTTATTTTTTTTTTCATGGAATTAAAAGCTTTTAGTTCTTCCATTTTAACATTGAAATTATCAGGCGGGTTTTTACAATATTTGATAATTTTTTCTATACTGTCAAGGGCTTCCATATTAGAAATAACTGCTACTTCTTTTTCTTCCTCTTCTGGATCATTAGTTTCAACTACTGTTTCTTGACTTACTGCTTCTACAATTTGATCATCAGTCAGTTCTTCTATTGGTATTTCATCATCAATACGGATGAAAGTTTCTGCACTCAATGAATTTTCTAGGTCCAATCGATTAATATATTCTTGTAATTCAGAAGTAACATCATCAATTTCAGTAACATCACCAACATCACCCATAAAAGTATCTTGATCAGAATCCTGCTCATCAGGTAAAATATTCGTTTTTCTCCAACAGTTTCTATCCCAACCACACCAAATTTACCTTGGACTTCGTCAATTCCTAAAAATATGGGTAATTAATTGTCTAAAAATTTTCTATTATTTTAAATATACAAATTTAATTTTACAAACTTACTTGAAAAATAAAATTGTTTATCAGGCAATG